TCCAACATCGATATTTTCCAGGAGTTTTTTTTAACTCAAACCGGCACAGCCAGCGGCAATAGACTGACCGAGCATTATTGAAACCATAGCTAGAATCCTTTGGCAGTCCTTCTGTGCTTCAATACCCCAAGTACAAACCTTATATCTCCGGAAACGTCTTCGACGACGTGGAACAGAAGGCACCTACGCTGAATCACTATATGCCCGTGATCCTCCAACTGTGAGAGAGTGAAACTCCATCTTTTTGCCTTTTCACAGATGGAAAATGGAAGAAAAAATCATGATACTCTACCTTTACTCTGCGGACGAGACTCGAAACTTGCGGATTTTTTACTTTTCCTTCGGCATTTTCTTTTTCCATTCAGTCTGTACTCTTTTCCAATCCCGCAAAATTGATGTCTACACATTGCGGGGAGGATATTGTATTGGATCTTGGAGCTGGTGGATGTCGTCAATCCTCAGTGTCACGTTGTCGTCTGAGAGTATTGGAGATACAGGGCTGCTTCAGAGTCTTTGCAACTGATTTTTTTTCCACTTATTCCTGCATTATTAGATTTTAAGGGGAGCCGCGGTGGAATTTGGAAGTCATCGGGCGTTGGAAAAATGATTATTATAATACACAGATTATACAGTTCATGCAGTTGATAATATAAGTTGTAAGTGAAAATAATTGTGAAAAAAGCAAACTCCGAGATGTTTAAGGCTTGCAAAGTGTCCTTATGGATTTCCGGAAAAAATTCTAAAAGACATCTGAATGAAATTATTTGTTAATTAATTGTTTCAATTAAATAAGAAATTATTTTACGCAATTTCATTTTTTTAGAGGTGAATTCAGTTGAGGCTTTATATAAGATACCTCGAGCGCTCGGCGCTCCCCCCTCGCGGCACCTTTATCGCCTCCTGAATTTGTAGTTCCGTGGGCTTCTTATAAGATACCTATGGCCTCGATCATTTTTCAACGGGAAAAAGTGATTAAAAGGATCAAATGGAGCTAAGGGTCAAACGGAAGGGACGAACGAAGTGATCATAAGGGTCAAATGACCTTAAGGGTCAAGAGTTCAAACGTGAGAGTCAAGTGAAATAATCAGAAGGGTTAAACGATCCCGAGGGTCACCTCTTTTCTTCGACGCTATAATTATTAAAATGACGACGCAGAATTATCTTAATAGAATAAAGCCTCATTAAAATTCAATTAATTTACGTACTTGCAATAATTTGTACTTCAGCTGTCCAGAAGTGATTATTCTCAAGTCCCCCAACAATCCCCCAACATCAGCTGCCATTCCATCACGCGGGGTTTGTTTAGAGAGGAAAGGGAACGCGGGGTATACGAATTCAAAACATTAAACTCGTATAAATTGATTAGTTATCAATATCCATTCAGTAAAAATGAAAATTACATAGAATTCAGGCGCAACGAGCGAGTTATCTTGTTTCAAACCGCTGATCCCTATTTTTCTCCTCTCTAACAGCGCGCGTACTGGGGGTACACGCATTCCCGGAATTAGGAGGTAATTCCATAATCATAATTATTTCGTCATAAAAAATCGCGTATTCAGAATTTTTGCCTCTCTTTTCACTTCCAAATGCTGAAATTCTGTGCAAATTCCTATTTGTCAATTTAATTTCACCCATTCCAACAACACCACGATGGCACGCAAAATTTCTGGTTTATATTGAATCAACTTTGTCGAGTGGCAAAGCAACCATGCATATCCATGTCCCATAAACACGTGAGAACTACAGGGGGGCAGGGGGGGAGGGAGAAGAGGAATGGCGCATCTCGAGTATTCGTCACTGTCTTTGAGATGTCGGTACATCTTGCGCTTGTTTCACAAACTGAATTTCATCATTGTCGAGAAACTTTAGTTAAAAGCAAGCGCCTGAGATTGAGAGCTGGCTGGAGTGAGGCGTATAGTTATCCAAGTCTGTATATTCCACAATCAATCTAATTATTCTGCAAGGGATAGGGTGATTGTACCGCATAATTCTGGGATTGTAGGTGATGTCTACGCAGATTGGGGTGATAGGGTGTTTTGATAACTTGCCTGACATCGGGAAGGCAGAGCCTATTTTCACCAAATTGTTCATCAACTCACCGATCTGTAGGGAGTATTTTAACCCTAGTTTGGTCACCATAGGAAGGAAACGCCGCAGAAGGTCGATTTTTTTTACCATTTTTTACCATTGACTGGCTGAGCGGAACAATCCTAAAAAATTGGAATGCGTCAATTCAAGTGTCTAGAAAATTATAATATTTTTTAAAATTATTGATATCCACAATTGCTGAAGAAAAAAAATTATTTCTAACAGACGGGCAATTTTTTCCCATGTTAAATGAAATTGTCCGTTGTGCGACGTTGCCGAAGTCTCGCTAAACGCGCCCGGGCAGTATAGAGTGAATTCGGCAACGCTCGGGCCTAAATAACACGTTGGCGATTCCTTCCGGAGGTGACCAAAGTCGCAAGTTCTCATATGGTGACCAAACTAGGGTTAATGAAAGGGTATAAACTCAATAAATTCACTCCCCAAATAATTTTTCAAAAGAGTGGATATTTGTCCATATATTGTAGGATCGCCTTCTTTACAGAGTCGTCATTAAACATGCTAACAATCTAGTCTTTGAATAATTATATCTCAGTCGGAAGAGTGCTCTTGCCCACGGCCCAGGGCAGACTGGCCACGATCCCGTTCCTTATGGGGACCTCAAACCCAGGTTTGTCATTTGTTTAGGCTATTGATCAATTGCTGAGAGGATGTTTACGCTAAAGTATGCCAGCATCTCTCTGAACAAAGCCATCTCAGTCCCTAGTTATGATCATTCGGTCCCAGTATTTTAAGCGTGAAAAATCTTTCCACAATTTTAAAATCAATATTCAGGAACACGTATGAAAAAATCGTATCGGAATTTTCTGTACGGATTGCGTATAGAATTTCTATAGGATTTTCGTATATGATATTCGGATATTTCTATACGGATATTTTTTATACAAATTATTTCTGTACGATTTCTATAGGTTTGATCCTATACGACCCACTTCCTCATGTATAGAAACATTTCGTATGGAGTTGCGACATTTCTCTACGTTTTTCTCTGGAGCGTTTAGACATCTTTTGTATGAAAACAAAAATTTATGTAAAAAATTATGTATAGAAATAATTCATATACGGAAATATCATATACGGAAATCCTATAGAATTTTTATACACAATCCGTATAGAAAGTTTCTATACGATTTTTTCAGACGTGAAAAGGTCAAACATTTTAACGTTGGGGCAATGTTGAACTATATGGTCATAAAAATTCCATTCGGAAGCAAATTGCTAATTTATTAGCAAAAATAAATACATTGACGATGTTTTGACGAAACCAATTTCCCTCCTGTTTGGGTTTCATTTTTTTGGGAGAAGAGGAGTGGACCCATACGATGGGAGTGCGGGCGGTGAACCATGGGAGGGGGGGGGGATCGATAGCGCATCGAGATTTGGTGGATGCACCGGAAAACATCCGTGGAATCTCCGGAAAGCACGCCCCAACGCTTTTCGGCTGATATGTTACATTCGTAATGTGGATTTCGAGCAGACTCACACGGTGATAAAGAGAGGGGATACCTTTTTTCGGATTTTCAAGAAATGGGTACACGGGACGGATATTAAAGATTCATATCGTTCTTGAATTTGTAATATTTTCCCAGAAATTGGTACACTGTTAGGAAAAATTGAAATTCTATGGACGATTCAGCAGTCATTTTCAGGGGAGTGACATTGAATTCATTTCAGAGACGAAAAAATTATGGAATTTCACTGAAAATTCAGTGGAATTTCTAATTTGTTAGCTGACCGAAGACGAAATGTTCACAATTTAGTTGAATTCTCTAATAATTTTTTTTGGAAACATGACTATTTAGTGCACTATTAAAAATTTTCGTCTGAATTTTCCACGCCAAATTCCGGGAATTTTTATCGTGTTCAAGTTCCACTGAAATCTCACAAATTTTGTCATTGAAAAATCAAATATTCCATTGATTTTCTGTTCAAATGGTCTGGAAATCAATAAATACTTGACTTTTCAGTTCAATTATTCTGTGAAAATTTAGAAAAATCCAGTGTGCCATTTAGAAAATGGAAAATTCAGAGCAAAATTCAAAATTCATGTCTTTTGTTTCTGAATATTCATGATCCACTAAAAATTCAATCAAATTGTGAAATTTCCGTCTCACTCCCACTGAAAACTCATGAATTTCTGCGAATTCTACTTAAAACTTGAAATTTCATAATCATTTTTTCCCTAAATCTGATTCAATGTCATTCTCCTGAGATTTACTGTAATATCTTCCATTAAATTTTCAATTAATTGAAAAGAAGGTTATATGCATTCGGCCCAAGCAAATGCAGTGCTTCAACTCGTTCGTCCAGAGGTAACTCAATGAGAAACGAGTTAAAAAATTAATTTTTTGGTTAGAAATGTAGAAAACCTTTCGAGGAGAGGAACTATTCGATTAATTACTGTATTTTTCTAAAAATGCATAAAAACAAAAATGATTTGTGTGAATAAAATAAATGCATCCGATTTCTCTGAGAATAAAAAATGAAAATGGATTGGTAGCACTGAAATTTTGTTTACATGATTAAGCGCGCGGAAGATTCAAATTGTAGATAATCACCCTGAGAGTAACCGGAGGTTAAAATTAGTTGATAAAATAAAACGGTCAGTAAACAACTAAAAACTTGAACATTAAAAATTAAAAATCCCCGACGAAAAAATTGTTCTTGAAAAATAAAAAAAATGAGAAAATGAAAACTCAAAATTTTAACTTGAAGAATTTTAAAGGAATGAATTTTTTTTTGTTAAAACCAAAATTTGGATTCTCTAAAATTCTTCAAATTTAAATGCACAATGTGACGAACATTTCCAAGCAGTACATCAGAAATTTCAATTAAAAATTTCGAACGGTACGTCTAAAGAATATTAACCCAAATTCTTTTCTTTGTTGTTACAGAAAATGGGAATATCTCACGGCGAAGACTTACCCTACATCTTCGGTGCACCACTAGTCAACGGTTTCAATCATTTCCGCAAGAACTACACAAAACCCGAGATGATAATGTCCGAAAGCATGATGCAGGCCTTTGAGAATTTCATAAAATCCGGGTAAGTAATAAAAAAAAACCTTAAAATGCCTCTCAATTTATATTCCATTCTCGCCATTCGTTTCGCGTACTTAAAATTCTCGGAGATTAATACTTTTGGCAGGCGCACACCCTGTTCATGAGTGTGAAGAGCCAAACAAACTCAATGCAAAAGAAATAAAAACAGAAGGAGAGGGGAAAAAAATTTCACGAAGAAGAGGAAACGAGGGAACTCGGTATGTGTGCAATTCAGAGAAAAGGGCTGGATGAGGAGTGAGTCTGAATTTTCCATATTCATGAACGGTCGACGTGAGTACTCGAATTAAAAGCGAAAATATTTTCGAGGCCACCCACTGGGTAATAACTTCGTCGAGTTTATATTCGCGATATTTTTTTTTCAACGTTTTTCACTCCGGATTTCTTTTTCTCCTTTGTTGAGAATTTTTTCTCGTGGAGAGGGATCCGACCGTAACGACGCTGATTGACGCGATTTTTTTGCTCCCCTGTGTAGTCCTGTAAACAACTGCTAATTAGAAATTCAGCATAAAAATGCAGGACAGGGAATAATTTTTTTGTTCGAATAATCCCAGAATTGCAGAACGCGTCGGAGAATGCATGAAACGTAGGAATTATTATAAAAAATGAGAAAATGCATAGAAAGAAGTGGCAAATTGCTCTTGTATTCCATATAGTACACGGAAAGAACTTTTTGATAAAAATTATCCTACCGTTCTGTAAAAGCGTATCATGAGTCATCGTTTCCTCATTTCTATCCCGAAATTTAGTAAAAATTGATATATGATGATCAAATTTTATTCTACGTTAGAGAAATTTTATCCTGATAAAAATAAAAATTACCGTGCCGGTAGAGTAAAAATTACTGTACCGGTAGGGTAAAATTTACCAACCATTCTAGAATTTTCGTTATCTACATAAAAATTACTGGACTGGAAGGGTAAAATTTATTATGCGTCAGGATAAAATTTCTCTAACGTAGAATAAAATTTGATCATCATATATTAATTTTCACTAAATTTCGGGATAGAAATAAGGAAACGATGACTCATGATACACTTTTATAGAACGGTAGGGTAATTTTTGTCAAAAATTTCTCTCCGTGTATAGTTGTTTTTGCTAATAAATTGAAGCAATATGCTTCCGAATAGTTATTTTGGACATCATTTCCTTTTATCACGTATAATTCATGTTTATTTAATTTTATTAAATTGAATAAGATTTATTTTTAATTAATTTTGTCAGATTTTTAACTTAGTTGAATATTATCATCACCATTATTCTTATTATCACTTTTTTCTAGAGGAATCTTCCATAAAATGTTAATAGAAAAATTTTATTTATACTTGAATCAATTTGAAACATCACATTTGAAGAAGCTATCAGAAAGCTCACTTTCAGGGAAATTCATGAAAAATTCGAAATCTTCACCAATCATCATAAAAATCAAATTAACCAATATAGCTATCGGAATCATCTTTCAACTTCGACTTAATGACATTAAAACAAAGATTTTAAACTATGATTGAATTCATTTGAAGCATGATATTCAAAGACATCTCCGGAATTCTAATTTTCAAAAAACACAAAATTTTTGCAAATTTTCAAATAAATCAAAATAACGATCATTGCTATCGCCTTCATCTTCGAAATCAGTCAAAAGGACATCCGAACGAATTTTTTNCAAATTCTTTTCTTTGTTGTTACAGAAAATGGGAATATCTCACGGCGAAGACTTACCCTACATCTTCGGTGCACCACTAGTCAACGGTTTCAATCATTTCCGCAAGAACTACACAAAACCCGAGATGATAATGTCCGAAAGCATGATGCAGGCCTTTGAGAATTTCATAAAATCCGGGTAAGTAATAAAAAAAAACCTTAAAATGCCTCTCAATTTATATTCCATTCTCGCCATTCGTTTCGCGTACTTAAAATTCTCGGAGATTAATACTTTTGGCAGGCGCACACCCTGTTCATGAGTGTGAAGAGCCAAACAAACTCAATGCAAAAGAAATAAAAACAGAAGGAGAGGGGAAAAAAATTTCACGAAGAAGAGGAAACGAGGGAACTCGGTATGTGTGCAATTCAGAGAAAAGGGCTGGATGAGGAGTGAGTCTGAATTTTCCATATTCATGAACGGTCGACGTGAGTACTCGAATTAAAAGCGAAAATATTTTCGAGGCCACCCACTGGGTAATAACTTCGTCGAGTTTATATTCGCGATATTTTTTTTTCAACGTTTTTCACCCCGGATTTCTTTTTCTCCTTTGTTGAGAATTTTTTCTCGTGGAGAGGGATCCGACCGTAACGACGCTGATTGACGCGATTTTTTTGCTCCCCTGTGTAGTCCTGTAAACAACTGCTAATTAGAAATTCAGCATAAAAATGCAGGACAGGGAATAATTTTTTTGTTCGAATAATCCCAGAATTGCAGAACGCGTCGGAGAATGCATGAAACGTAGGAATTATTATAAAAAATGAGAAAATGCATAGAAAGAAGTGGCAAATTGCTCTTGTATTCCATATAGTACACGGAAAGAACTTTTTGATAAAAATTATCCTACCGTTCTGTAAAAGCGTATCATGAGTCATCGTTTCCTCATTTCTATCCCGAAATTTAGTAAAAATTGATATATGATGATCAAATTTTATTCTACGTTAGAGAAATTTTATCCTGATAAAAATAAAAATTACCGTGCCGGTAGAGTAAAAATTACTGTACCGGTAGGGTAAAATTTACCAACCATTCTAGAATTTTCGTTATCTACATAAAAATTACTGGACTGGAAGGGTAAAATTTATTATGCGTCAGGATAAAATTTCTCTAACGTAGAATAAAATTTGATCATCATATATTAATTTTCACTAAATTTCGGGATAGAAATAAGGAAACGATGACTCATGATACACTTTTATAGAACGGTAGGGTAATTTTTGTCAAAAATTTCTCTCCGTGTATAGTTGTTTTTGCTAATAAATTGAAGCAATATGCTTCCGAATAGTTATTTTGGACATCATTTCCTTTTATCACGTATAATTCATGTTTATTTAATTTTATTAAATTGAATAAGATTTATTTTTAATTAATTTTGTCAGATTTTTAACTTAGTTGAATATTATCATCACCATTATTCTTATTATCACTTTTTTCTAGAGGAATCTTCCATAAAATGTTAATAGAAAAATTTTATTTATACTTGAATCAATTTGAAACATCACATTTGAAGAAGCTATCAGAAAGCTCACTTTCAGGGAAATTCATGAAAAATTCGAAATCTTCACCAATCATCATAAAAATCAAATTAACCAATATAGCTATCGGAATCATCTTTCAACTTCGACTTAATGACATTAAAACAAAGATTTTAAACTATGATTGAATTCATTTGAAGCATGATATTCAAAGACATCTCCGGAATTCTAATTTTCAAAAAACACAAAATTTTTGCAAATTTTCAAATAAATCAAAATAACGATCATTGCTATCGCCTTCATCTTCGAAATCAGTCAAAAGGACATCCGAACGAATTTTTTAAGCCATCATTCAATCAATTCAGAACATTTTATTTAGTTATCATGGAAAAACCAATTTTCGAAAAAATTTGAAAATTAAAAAACTAATCGATGAAATAGATTTTAATTAAGGGGAGACTACTGTGAGTTTTAAAAGTCGCGGGCTATTAAAATGACATTACTCATACATTGAAGATCGATTATATATGTCTAAAAATGAATAATTAGTATCGAAAAATTAATTGTTTATTGTTCGTTTGCCCCTCAGACGCTAAAAATGTTAAAAATAGTCCAGGGCCTACAATTTTTGAGCTAAAAAAGTTGTTTTTTCAATTTATGCCATGACAAATACGATTAGTTTCTTGAAAGTCGACTCCTACACAGTTAATTTAGTTTTTTTAATAAAAAATTGCACCAGAATCGAGAAAATATTTAAAATATTTTAAGGATAACACAAGGATTTTTTTACAAGTTTTATGCGAATACCTATACAACCGCCGAGGCGTGTGTCTTCATAAACTAATCAATTCTTAGTTACATAAAGATATCAATAAAAAAAACTCGAATAAAAAATTCGAATCGCTTCGTTTGTTCAAAAGAAATCGTTGAACAAAACTTTGACCACACGCATAAACATGTTTCCAAAACCATATCAGGATGATTCTAGGGGTCATCAATCATCGACAAATCATCGAAATTCCACATTTAATTTTCGCGTTAATTACACTATTAGAAATTTTTTGAAATTCCATGGAAAATATGATAGTAATTCGCATGAGAGTGATATTGAATCTGATTTAAGGGAAAAATGGTCGTGAAATTCCAAGTTTTATTTAGAATTCTATGAAATTCATAAGTTTTCAGTGGGAGCGCGCTGGAAATCTCACAACTTGATTGAATTTTCAATGGAACATATAAATATTCTGAAACAAAGTGATATAATTTTTCAATTTTTCCCTAAATTTGCCCGATTTTTCTCAACTTTCACGGAATAATTGGACTGAGAAATCAAGTATTTTATTGATTTGCAGATCGTTCAAACAGAAAAACAATGGAGACGTTAAAAATCTCCATTTCCCTGAAACGTCGCCCATTTCCCCCAAATAATTTTAGCAATTAAATTTGATTCGGTTCCCAACTCGTCACCATTCCAATCACCTTCCCCACAACATCCCCAGCGTAACAGCCCAGATCACCCCCTAGAAACGGCAAGTCACAAAGTAGCTCGAGGAAAACGCTCGCAGCAAGGGGGTGGGAGAAATTTGAATCACCAACCAGTACTGGATATAATCTCTTATCTTCACCCACCACACTACAGAGTGTCTCTATCTTCTCCACGTATAATGTAACCATTAAATCCCATACCCCTGTGTCCCCCTTATCTAAGTGGTGCAATCGAGCTTGCAATTGACTTTTTGCCCTNCCAAGTTACACTGGGGCGTGTCTGACTGCACACGATCTAAACCACTGTTATAACCTTCATATTCACCC